TTCCGTCTGGAATCAGCTGTAGCCAGTGGCCACACACCTCCCTCCGTCCTGCCCTGCCTGCCTGCACCAGCCCTAGTACCTCCCTTCACCAACATTGCAAGGGTATAGGGAGCCCATTCTTGCTAGTTTCTGTGGGTCTAGGTTTCTGCTGGCTGGGATTCAGACATGATGGCTAGAGCTTGGCAGCCCCCTTGGGTTCCCACATAGATCAGCCCGCTAACGCCCTACCCTCCTCCCCCTGCTTCCACGGAAACTAAGGTAAGGGAGCTTCTATTTATGGAGCACCTACTATGTGCCAGGCACTGTGGCTTATTTGTCTTATATCTTCCCACAAACACCCCGAGGGACTGTGAAGCCCAGAGGGGGGCGGTAGTTTGTTCATGGCACACAGCACGTGAAGAGCAAAGCTGTGTGCTGTGCTGGAGATGCTGCGTGCACCTCACTAATTAGTTACTGTCCCTGTAGAACTACTTTGGGTCCCACATGGAACATGATGGTAAGAGGGAGCATATACTGGGTCCCTGCAGAGTGCCAGGCCCTTGAACTCTTGTAGCTGACATTCAGGGTCAGTGTGATGATCCCCATCTTACAGATGGGGGAGCCAGGGTTCTGGACATCGTAAGGACTCGCCCAGTTACTAGTAAGGGACAGATCCAAGGCTTTTCTCAGATCCCAAACGCAGGTTCTTTCCAGCGCCGGGCAGCCTCGAATGCCCACCCTCTGTGGGGGCAGCTGCCCCACCTTGACCTCCAACCCAGGGATCTGAAAGGCCCTCTGTGTGAGCGTTGTCACTGAGCACGATGTACACGTTTTGGTGAAGAAAAGAACAAGAAGTAGGCAGGTTCTGGTTATGAGAAAATAACCAGCTGTACAGGGAACTATCTTCTTGTGTTTTTGAGAAATCGTTTGCATAACCCGGTGTGATTGGTGATTCAGATGGAAATGCAGATGTTACCAGCCAAGCCTTTGTGTTGTTTCCTAAGATGCCCCACACTTGCCTCTCCGGTGTTTTCCCGTCTTCTTTAGAAGCAAAAGCCTTCCTCTCCAGCCTTGAAGGGAAGTTCTGTCTGGGGTTTACCTTTGATACGGACGCAGACCCCTTAGACTGGCCGGTAAAGCATGAGACTCCACTGCAGGGAGATCTGAGCTAAGCAGCCTCTGCACACAGCGTCCCGAGCACAGCACATGGCTTTGCTCTTCCTGTGCTGTGTGTCATTAAGCAAACCACCGCCCCTCTCTGGGCTTCACTGGCCTCATCTGTCAAATGTGATTTTTTAAAAATTTCCTCTCGCTCACTGGTTTTCTGTGAAGAGAACAGAGCTAACTCACATCTCAGCTCTGACACTTTCTAGCTGCATGACTTTGGGCAAGTCACTTCACTTCTCTTTGGCTCAATTTCTTCATCTATAATTGGCAGCCAGCTCCTGTCAAGGAGTATATCCAGTAAGTTCATTTTCTGCCATGTATTAAGGTCCACCTGTGTGTCGGGCATAGTTCATTAGCACAGTTGGGCATCTGGCATTCTAATCACACTTCTACTGACACATCCCTACACAATAAAAGGGGGGTGTCTCTAGTCTCTGAGGAAGCGGGTGGGCACTTCCGAGTTCTTGACCTCGTCTTAGTGAAGATTCAGGTCCATATAACCGAGGCCCCATTGAAGTGGCTTAAATATACAAGAGTTGATGTTGTCATGTAAGAACAGGACAGAACAGGCTCTTCAGGGCTGGTATGGTGGCTCCATAGTCTTCAGGGGCCAAAATTCCCGGTCTTGCTGCTTTGCAAGCCAGCAAGTGGACTTAGTGAGCGGACTCACGGCCCAACATGGCTGCTGAGGCTCTGGCCATCACGTCTGAATTCCAGCCTGCAGGAAAGGAAATATGGGGGAAAGAAGAGCACTCCCCTTTTAAAGAGACCTCCAGGCAGAACCACATAACACCACCGCTTCATCCATTGGCCAGAACTTGTTGCAGTGCTACACTCAGCTACAAGAGAGGAAGGTGCCCGGCTATAAATTAAAGTTCTTATGACTAAGGGAAAAGGGGGAGAGTGAGTTGTAGATGGTTCCTTGCCATCTGTGACATAGCTCTGTTTTCAGGTTGGGGGCTTTACAGCAACCTCAGAGCAACTCTCTGATGCAGCTACGCTTCTTGTCCCCGTTTTACAGCTGAGGCAAGTGGAGGTAGAGGATAGAGGGGTTTGCCCAAGAGCCAGGTGGTGAGCAGCAGAGCCCTTCTGCCATAACCTAAAGCTACAGAACGAGGACCTCCACTCTGACTATCAGGAGATCCCTTCCTGCCCCCAGAGGACCCAGATTTTGTAGAGAAACTGCCTGCATCTTTACTTACCAGGGTTTAGAGCAGCCTTGAACTTAGAGGTCCCCTCCCCTCTCTGGATTTCAGAGTCATGGAGAGTTGGAGACAGAGCATTGGCGATGGAGGGCGAGGGTGAGGCCCAGGAGCTTAGCTTGGGACCCTGGGGAGGGCTGGGCTCTGCCCGCCCACCGTGGCCCTCACTCACTGTCCTCCTGCAGGTCAGCGGCCACTTGGACTATGGCAAGAAGATGGACGTCATCCTGAAGGCTGTGGGCATCCCCACCAAGCCAGGCTGGGTCGAAAAGGGGCTTTTGATGGCCTCAGGCAACCTGCCCCAAGAGGAGCCTCGCCAGGCAGCAGCTGCCTCCTCACCAGACAAGACCACCGACCAGGATGGGCAAACCCAGGGTCCTGCACCCAGAGACACCTCCCAAGTGTCCACATTTGCTGACCCCAGCCAAGCCCAGGTGCCAATGGGGCTGGACCAACCCGAAGGGGCCTCCCTTCCTGCTGCTGCCTGCCCTGCGGAGAACCCCCAGACCTGCAGCCATGGCGTGAGCCCCAACCCATTGGGCTGTCCCAGCTGTGCCAGTGAGATCCAGGGACCCGGCCCAGGGCTGGATTGACCCCAAAAGGGGACTCAAGCCATCTTCCCAGATTCCCATATATGGTGCTCTCTTACCCCCGTCCACCGGGCTCCCCGAGGGAGCTCTGAAGAATTTCCACCAGTGCCTTTCCTAAACAAAGGCTTTGGGGTTGAAAAGCAAGGAATTGACAGGAGAGGGAACTGTAGGGAGATGATGGTTCCTCTCTGGAGAAGCAAGGCCAGAGCCCCGCAGAGTCAACCAAGCACAGGTGAGAGCCCTCGGACCCTGTACCCTAGGTCACAGCGTGGGACTGGCTCTCCATCAGGAGGTCCGGGGGGCTCTTGGGGCCTGAGGTTCCTACTTGCCACCCCCGCCCCCCGCCTCAGTCAAGCCAGGTGTCTGCCTGCCCTTCCATCCACTCCAGGCTGCCTTCCAGCCCACAGGCACCTCTGACACACCTACAGAGCTGGGCACCAGAGGCAGCGGGCAGCTCACTCTGCTCTTGGGAGATCCGATCAGACCTACCGTGTACAGCCACGTGGGCTGTGCCCTGCACAACAGCAGGGGCGCCAGTCACACAGACGCGAGGTGAAGGGCACCCCCAAAGTTGTACTGCGTGGTGGCCCTGGATGTCATTGTAGCAGAGCACGGCGAACAAATGCTGAATCCGCCTGCAGTACGGGTGGGAGCTGGGCCTGGTAGCAAGAGGGGGTGAGACGGGAAGGATTTCCTGTAGCATGAGCAGAGGTGATGGTGATTGTGAAAATAAAGAATGGCTGCCACCCAGCGAGTGTTTACCGTGTACCGAGGGCGTACGTGAACAACACCCCAACACCGAGGGGCAGAGTGTTGACCCCCGCAACAACCCGATGAGGTAGCTACTGGTATCGTCTTCATTTTACACCTGTAGCTACGGATGCCCGGAGAGGTCAGCTAACCTGCTCAAGGTCACATAGCTGGTTGATCTCAAGCTTGTCAGCTGGTCCCCGGAGCCCAGCTCTTAGCCATTGTACCAGGTGCCACTGGGCCTGGACCAACCAGAAGGGGCCTCCCTTCCTGCTGCTGCCTGCCTTGCAGAGAACCCCCAGATCTGCAGCCATGGCGTGAGCCCCAACCCACTGGGATGCCCCAGCTGTGCCAGCGAGATCCAGGGACCTTGCCCAGGGCTGGACCCTGCACCACTAATGACCTTCCCCTTTGTTCCTCCCACTGTCCATGAGGGCCAGGGCCAGAGAGCATCCCCCCACCCACTGTGCAGATGGGAAAATCAAGATCCAGGCAGAGAAAGTATTGAAAAGCTCTGGAGCAGGCAGTGGGGAAGAGAGATGGGAGGAATTGGCGTTAGAGCTGAACTGGTGCTCGGGCATGTGTATTTGTTTATTCATTTAACAAATATTTACCGAACTCTTGCTGCCATTAATCCAAACAGCGCGTGGGAAACTGAGGCCCCGAGAGGGTAAGGGACTTGGCTGAGGTCCCAGGGCAGATTAGGGGCAGAGTGTGGACATGAACCCAGGCCACCTGTGCCAGGGTCTCTTCCCCCTTCATCGGCAGCATCTCCAGCCCGAGTGGCCCCTCAGGCGGATCCAGTCCACACTCCAGCGAATCCAGTCCACACTGCAGTCACTGCTGTCAGCTCGTGTTTATTGATAGTCCACTCCAGCAGGCCTGGGGCAGAGGGGAGCCCCCACAAGCACCATGGACCCTCCGAGGCCAGTGGCCAGCAGCCAGGGCCGGAGTCTAATCAGCACCAAGGAGAGTGCCCGGCCACCTGCAGAGCCCCCTGGGCGTTTGGGTGGATGGAACTTGCGGGTGGGGCATAAGAAAAATCTCAGACTGAGGATTAAAATGGCAGCCGAGTAAGTGGACACACTCTCAGGAAAAACCTCAGCCTGAAAAGGGACCTACAGCAGGTGAAGGAACTGAGCGCTCCCTCAAAAACAGAAACAAAAAAACAGGTCCCGTACCAGGGTTCACCTGCCTGCTTGACGCACCAGCCCACACCAGGGGCAGCTCCTCTTCACCTCTGCTGACCTGAGTGGCCACCTCTCCCACTTCCCTCACGGACCCAGGAAAGGCCAGAAGGAGGCAGGGCCAGGGGGCTGAATGCCGGGAGGTATAACAACCACAGGTACCACTGACCATCTGCCAGGTGCTGGCATCGATGCACACTGTCCCCGTTCTCATGGCAACCTACGAGGCAGGCATCATTGCCCCATGTTGCACGTACAACAGCAGGCTCAGAGAGGTTAAGTAACCCGTGCAGAACTAGGAAGTAAGGGAGCATGGATTCCAGTTGAGGCCTGCCTGACTCCCAGGCTCAGGGGTTCCCTGTGAGGCCACACACATCCGAGGGGCTGGCTGGTCCAACAACCGTCCAGCAAACCATCCTCAGGGTCAAGGGTCAGCTCAGCCAGCACACCTCAAACCATGCACGCACACGAGTCACTGGGGACCTTGCTCACATGTAGGTTATGACTCAGCAGCTCCGGGGCGGGGGCAGAGGTGTGCGTTTTCAACCAACTCCCTGGAGACCATGCCCACGAACTACAGTTAGAGGAGCAAAGGGCTCAGCCTGCACTGACCCGTCTCTGCAGACGTGCGATCTGATAGGATGTGCAAAGGCGATGGTCTTCACCCTAATCTGAACCAAGGGCCCCCTGCCCCGCTCCCAGAGCCCTCCAACCATTCTCTACACAACTTACACTCAGCAATGCAGCCTTCTGGAGACATTGTATGCAGCCAGCAATTACCCCGCAGGTGGAGGACCCAGAGTGGGTAGTGGGGCTGATTCAGTGCACCCCACCAGAGTTCAGAGGGCCCCCGAGAGACCTGCAGCCTCCTGGCCTCAGCCAGAGCTGGCCCAAGGCCTCGGGGGCTTGGTTGCACCCAGTCCAGCTCCCCCCTGACCAGCCACAAGCCCCGTCAGTTCGTGGGGGCACCAAGCAGATGCAGCCGCAGCTGGGGCTCCACGGGATCCCTGTGGAAGAAGTTGACGGTGGCAGAAGTCCTGGCAGGCGGCAGGGTGTCCCGGGTGGCCTCGCCTGGCAGCAGCAGCTGGGCCGTGAGCTGCAGGCCTGAGGAGCCTCCTGAGCCCGAGTCCGGGTCGGAGTCAGAGTCCGGGGGCAGGGGCAGGGGCAGCACCTGCTGCAGGCTCAGGCCCGGCCGGGCGCCGCTGTGGGAGGTGCGCATGGAGGGTGAGGCCACGCTGGCCCGGTGCTCCTGGGGCCAGAGGGGACAGGGCAGCAGTCTGCCCAGGGCCCTCTTGAAGTCCCGCATGAAGAGGGGGTAGATGATGGGGTTCATGGTGCTGTTGCAGTAGCCCAGCCACGTGAGGACATCGAAGAGGCCTGGGGAGACGCAGTCGCACACAGCCTGGAGGGAAGGGTGCATCACGCCTGGTCCCAGGGAAGGAGCATAGACCACCCCACCCAGCACGGCCGGGACAGACACAGCCAAACACACCATGAGCAGCAGCCCACTTTCCTCCCTCCCGTGCCTGGGCTGAGGTGGGGCTTGGGGGCCTCCCAGCGAGGCCTGGACTCACCTGCCGCCCCCTGCAGTGGCATTACCTGGGCAATGTTGGCCACAAAGAAGGGCAGCCAGGTCACAAAGAACATGCCCAGCAGGATGCCCAGGGTCAGGCTGGCCTTCAAGGCCTTCCTGCTGTGCTTGGTGGCCAGACGCCTGCTGTCAGCTGACTCCGTCCCTGGGCGTGGGGTCCTGGGCACCTGCCGAAAGGAAGGCCACATGAGTCAGCTGGGAGAGAGCCCCGGCCGAACCCTGATCCCATCCACAGACTGAGCCCCAATCCTAATTCTAGACTGGACCCTAGTATCAGCAATAGATTGAGTCCTGATCCTTGACTCAGCCCCAACTATAGCCCTAACCTGAGGCCTGACCCTGAGTCCAGACCAAGCCCTGACGTCAGCTATGAACCAAGGACTGATCCCTGAAAGCTCCCATAGACTAAGCCCTGTATAACCAAGGTGTCAAACTGAGCCTCAACCGGGGACCAGACTGAACCAACCTTAGGCCCAGACTGAGCCCTGATCCCAGCAATAGATTGAGCCCTGCTCCTGACCCAGCTCTTCACAAGGAGCTCTAGGAACTGCAGTGAGACAGAGCAACACTGCCCCAAACACAAACCAGTTCAAAAGACCCATGCTCCGTGCAAAGGACAACTCTACATGGGCCAACATGCATGACCGTGAGCCCCAGCACCTCCCAAAGGCTTTGGCGCCACAAGAATTAGTTGCGATTGAAGGGTATTTGACAAGAGGGCCTGTTGCTGTCCAGGGCGTGGCAATCTCTTTGTATATGGGTTCTCTTCAGTGTTTGGAGTAAGATTTTGCTTGCCCTGTTACCCTCACCCTCCACAAAACAAAGTGCTATTCCGAAAGCATTTGCAGAGAGCAAACGTTCACAGCGAAATTTATTATAATTTACTAGGATGCTAGTGACCTTGGCATTTCACAGCTCAAATCATGTGTGTCTGGCAGACGTCTCCATTCCCAAGCATAGACTTGAAGAGCGGGGGTGTGGGGAGGAAGGGGGAGAACGGAGCTGCTCCACAGCAGCCATCAAAAGGGGGCCAGGGGCATGAAGAGGTTAGAATTTGACTTTGCAAACTGGGGACCCGCAGTCCCAAAACATAAAAATGTCTCCTTGAACTGGATGAGCCTTTAGCCCAGAAGTTCCCATAACTGTTTCAACCTCATGAGCCCATTGAGAAGCTAATGAAATCTACACTACTCCCCAGAAAACTAAAAGCTTATCAATTTTCACACACACAAAAAAAAAATTCCCACACTTCCAGGGGCTTCTGAGACCATCTTAAAGTCCACCATTGAACCGCTAAAGGTCCATGGAGCCTCCCCTAAACGATGGGTTGTAAGCAATTTGGATTTTCATATATAAGATGTATACAAAATGAGATCCGCCTACATTCACAATGTAAATAAATATCAGTGTGCAGGAGATCCGGACACTTCATTGAATTATGGAAAAGGGGTGTGTGCTTCTGGGGAGCATACCTGGGCTTTGAAAGCCAGGGATCCCCCAACATTTCCTAAACTCTAGCTTAGTTCATGAGGCAGCCAGTAATGGGTTGGGTATAGAGAGATGACAGTCAAAAGGGAACCAGATTCCCAGGCAACCTTCCCAGATGGAAAGGGGGTGGAAGAGACAAAGCCAGGATGTGTCAGTCCCATCACATTATCTCTCAGATTCAGGACACCCTTCCCCCTCCCCCCCCACGCCCTCCACACACACACACACACACACACACACACACACACACACACACCTTCCAGCCTTGCCTTTCTCTCTCCGCCTCCTCAAAGCAGCGAGACTTTGTTCTTGTCCATGGTGCTGAAACACCCGCTCCCTACTATCCGCCTATAGAATCAGGGGGTCTAATTCTGAAATGTCGGTGGGCAGGAGGGGAGAGATGAAGCACACAGTAACTGCCAGCCCCCGATGTGTTTGCCCAGGTGAAGTCTGGTTATAGGGATATCGAGGACAGATTCACAAAGAGCAAACAAGGAGAGGCCCCTGCTCCCTCCCTCTTGTCTCGGTGGGGCAGCGTTGGGCAGAGGCAGGGCTTTTAAGACAAGTGGCCTGGCTGCAAACCATACCTCTACCACTTACTCACTCTGTGGCCCTGAGACTCTGTTTCCACGTCTGTAAAGTGGGAGGAACAATACGCAGCTTACGGAGTCCCTGGGGGGCTGTGGGTAACCAATGCATGCATAGTGCCCAACACAAAGTGCTACGTACATGGTAGCCCCAGTGTGGGCTCAGGGTATGTGTATGAGGTTGGAGAAATTTCAGCACCCTCGGGAGCCGGGCCCTTCTGCCAGCAGCTCTGGCTCCCCAAAGCAGCACAGATGTCAGGGCAAATGCTCTGACTCACCGTGCTGTAGCAAGGCAGAAGGGCGGGCAGGCGGGGGTGGGGGGATCTGCTTTTCTCTTTTCTCGTTTTCTCTCCTCCAGATTGGTCTCCACATGGCTTCTGTTCCCCGCCCCCCCCTCCCCCGCCCATGGTCAGCCAGGACAAGAAGCTCCTGCTTCCCCAAAGAATCTCCTAAGAGCTGCCATGCCTTCAAATTGATGCGATCAATAATGGGGACAGACCATGGGGGGGGGCACCATCTCCAAAAGGCCCCACCCATCGGGAACCCCTCTGAGACCTGGTGACCTGGGGCAGGAGAGAAGCAAGCGAGAACCTTGGTTTTGTCAGAGCTCTAGGGCATGGGGGACTGAGGGAGAGAGACCTTGGGGGCAATCGTCAGGGGAGAAAGCTCCAGGAATGGAGTTATAGATCACCTGAGATTCCCTCTCTGTTCTTCCTGGGAACAACCATGGGTGTTTCTGCTCTTCTCCCCCAGAGAGGTGACCCAAGAACATAGGCAGAAGGGAAGAGAGAAAGTAGGGTTCCTTCCCAAGGTCACATGTGCCAGAACAAGGTCATGAGCCAAAGCACCAATGACCCCAAACTGGCCCCATTTATTGAGCGCTTACTATGCATCAGCATTTGATATTCATTGTGCCGTTCAATCTTTACGTGAGGTAAGTGTTATTATCTCCATTTTGCAGAGGAGGTTCAGAGAGGCAACATAACAGCAGATTTGTGTTGAGTCAGGGGCCAAAGTCACTTCTGGCTCCAAGAGCTGTACTTCTGCTTCACCATCCTGCTGCCATTTGGGGGGATGGCATCCATGGGCCATAGTCAGGGTGGGGTTGCAGAAACACTACCACAGTCACCGAGAGCCCTTCATGGAGCAAGAGCCAATGGCAACCATCAGCCCACACCCTGGGCTCTGGCTGGTGCCAGCCTCCCCCTCCCCATTTCTCTCTGCCCCGTACCCACCTCACGGCCCCTCGTGGTCACATTGCTTCCACATGCCCCTTATATGTGTCCATGACAAGCATGACTGTCAGAGGGCAGCCACCTGGAGGACAACTTGGCAGCGCCTTTCCAGGGGCCAATTCCACTCACAGGTAAACTATATTCATAAACACCCACACACACCTGCACACTGGGCAGGTACAAGAAGGTGTCCCACAGCACTATTCGTGATAGAAAAAGAGTCAGAAATGGCCTAAATGTCCATCAGAAGGAGAGTGGTTAAATAGACCCACTGTAGAATACTAACAGGCTTCAAAGAATGAGTCATGCCCTGCCTGGAGTGGCTCAGTCAGTTGAGCATCAACCTTCAGCAAGGCACTGCACCTCTCTGTGCCTCAGTTTTCTCATCTGCATAACGGGAATCATAATAGCATGTACCTCATATGACTGTAGTAAGAATTAACTTAATTAAGATGGTATGCAGCCAGGTATTCAGGCAGGGCCTGGCACATAATATGTACCACGTGTTTGCTATATTGCTGTTGACAGTGTCCAGTTTATCTCTTTGATGATGGTGGTGATGATGCTGGTGGCATCAATAGTGTTTTTTCCTAGAAAGACTCAAAAGGGGGTGAGCTCCCCAGGACCATATTTGCCACAAGAGGAAAGGAGAGCATTTGTTGTGCACCTACTATGTGTCAAGTGTATGTATATTATCTTATTGGTTTTTCAAACAGCCTCAGGTGCTAAATAGCATTCACCCTGGGGTGTAGGGAGTTGGAGGACTTGTCCGAAGTCAACTGGATGTGATGGGAAGGAGGCAGGATTTGAGCCCATGACCAGCCAGACACACAGGCTCCTGCACCCAGCCCTGGCTCCACCAGGTCGCCCCGGACCCAGCAGCAGCCAAGCCTGCAGTGCTCGACACTGCTCCCCCGTCAGCCTCTCCCCAGTTCAGCCCCTCCTCTCCCTTTGAGATATTTCTGTGATCACAGCCTCCCCCTCTGAGGAGGAGGAGGAGGAAGCAGGGATGGAAGAGATGGATCACTAAGACAGAATGATGCATAGTTGGGTGAGGGAGGGTGGGAAAGCTGGGAGGAGGGAAAGGAGAAGAAATTGATGGGAGAGAAGTGGATAGAGGAAGATGGAGGGATGCAGGAGGAAGAGAATGGGGTGAAATGGAACTGAAGGAGAGAAGGGGAGAAAGACGAGGTGCAGAGGAAGACGATGGGGAAGGGGCTGTGGACCAGAGACACGGGATCCTGGCAGACAGAGAGGAGCTGAGAAAGCAGACACTGCCAGCATTCCCACCAAGCTGAGCTGCCTCACTGGTCCCTCTGGAATCTCCCAAGGATGAGCCCCATTCCCACAGGGACGCGTTCTCCTCTCTCTTCCTCCTCCCCCTCCCCCACCCCACATTCAGGCAGCCTCTTACTCTGACATCACCACCTCCCACGCCCATGGTCCCTGCCTCAGCTCTAAGCATGACCCCCTTTCTCACAGCCCCTGGGGCCCGAAGACCAGGCTGAACCCACAGAGCCACCATGGTTTTTTCCAAGCCCGTTCGCATGAAGATGCAGGTGTGGAGGGTGGGGGAGAGAAGGTGCTCACGCTGCTCAGCTCCCGTGATCTCGGCCCAGAGGCGCTGCGACTTTGGGCACCCGAGCCCAACTCCCCTCCTTCTGTGGGGAAGCCAGAGGCTGGACTGGGGAGGGAGCTAAGGGCTACGTGGGACTGAAAACAGGAGGAGAGAGGCCCAGCAAGCCCCGGGTTTTGTTCATTCTCATCAGGTGCTTTAAGTCCAGGCACTGAGAGAGCCTCCACCCCCAGGCTGGACGCTTCCGGTCTCTCGGACAGGACTGTCCAAGTGGGAGGAAAGGGGTCATGACCCAGGAGGCCAGAATAGAGGCCACATCCCAGAAGCAAATTCCCAAACGCAGCAATTCTCCGGGCAACATGGACCACGGCACCGGAAGGCCTGCTTAGGAGCCGAGTGGTTTGGGAGGCGAGGGTAGCGGTGGGGTCTGGCACTTCCACACTCAAACCAAGGAAAAGGCCCCCCAGGGAGCAGGAGGAATCAGCACAGGCACATGTCTGACGGGAGGGGCCCAGGGGCCATTCTGCCTGGGTGGCAGGTGCTGGCCTCACTGATCCGTGAGGACACCTCCCAGCATTCGGTTTACAAACACAGGCACAGCCACTGGTAGCCTCTGCATGTCCATGGGGTGAGGTGCCCCTCTTATGAGATCCACACCCTCATCCTGGTCAGGTTTCGTGATCAATGTCTGCCTCCCCGACTAGAACATGGATTCCAAGAGGGCGGGACCTTCTCAGCCCAGCTCATCACCCCATGCACAGCCTCCAACAGCTCCTGCACACAGTAGGTCCTCCAGACATGTCGCCAAGCAAAGGAACTGAGGGACTAAAAAGCCTAGGCTCCATCAGATGCAAGAACTGATTCTGAAAGGAGTGGGAGGAAAGGGAGCAGCTTGAACAGGGGCGGAATGGCCAGCTCTGTGACGCTCTGTGTTAATGTCAGCCCTTCCATCAGTGAACACTGAGCACTTAGGATATGCCAGGCACGGGTGCAGGTGCTGGGAATACAGTAAACTAAGAGACAAGTTCCCACCCCATAGAGCTTACATCCCAATAGGAGGAAATGCACAACAGATAAATAAGTGGGAACATGTCTAGCATGCCAGGAGTGGTAAGTGCTGCTGAGAACTGTAACGCAGGAAAGTAGGGCTGAAGGGGACCTGGGGAAGTGTGGCAGAAAGTGGTGGAGTTGCAGAGAAACCATGTGGAGGTGAAGGGAAGGCGCACTCCAGGCAGGGGAACAGCAAGTGCAAAGGTCCTCAGGCAGGATTGTGCTTGGTGGCCCAAAGGACAGCCAAGAGGCCAGTTTGGCCAAATGAGAGTGAGGAAGGAAAGGAATCCACAGAAGGGGCAGGGAGCTCATTCGTCACTACAGCAGAGCTTAGTGTGGGGTGGGCGGGGACTTGAAGTGGTAAACGGACACCCTGTGAAATAACTGAATCACGGAGTCGGAACATCAGCTCTCTGCTTACGTCACGAGAGAGTCTCGTGTGGATGCTACTTGGACTTTACCATCCGTCTAACACTTAACAAAGAGAAAGCGGGCCTCGGCTCAGTCCCTCTGACCAATGAGCTGGACTTGGGAACACCACTGGTTCTGCACCCTCACGGAAGCTGTGTTTGATCACCTATTTATGGCAAAGATATTGATTTTCCATTTCCGGAAGGAACAAGTTCCCTTCCTAAACAAACTCATGGAAGTAAGGAGATAAATGAGGTGATTTAAAGAAAATGCTAAGTACATATGAATGAAGTGGGTTGAAGAGAGTGGGGGTGGAGTGGGGTGGGGGAAGGAAGACAGATATGCCAAGGTGGTTCCTTGTGCCTGAAGTTTGGGGACATGTTCCTTTACAAGAACCCAAGGAGAGTAGGGGTGGCCCACGGCAGTTCTTCCTATTGCTAAAGAACCAAGCCAGGGCCGCAGCCACCAGCCGAGAATCCAGAATGTTCTCCAGTGAGCACAGATAGGGGGAGAGGGCAGGCCTGTAGCCAGGACCTCCTCCCACCCAGCCCCCAGCCAATTCTCTATTCACCCAATGACCCTCAAGGCACCCCCGACCCCATCCTGCAAGAGCCTCTTCCACCTGAAGCTACACCAAGATGAATCTGGAGAGCCCCGTTTGAAACTTCCTCTGGCGTGTGACCTAATTCTTTGGGGTTCAGGCCTGGTCAGTCTATGCCCCCATCCCTCGGGTGGACAATAGGACTCAGGCAGCACGTGGCCTGGGTGGCCCAAGCAGGTACTCCACTTCTAGACGCTGCAGGGCCTTGAGCTAGGAGCACCGACCCCATTCACAAGTGGTTAGGAAGCATTAGCATGTGCAGTGGAGATCAAACCAACCCAGACACACTGGTCCTCACGGAGCTTCCATTCAAGTGGGGAGACAGCCGAAACCGGTTTGGCTCAGTGGATGGAGCGTCAGCCGGCAGACTGAAAGGTCCCAGGGTCAATTCCGGTCAAGGGCATGTACCTGGGTTGCGGGCACATCCCCAGTAGGAGATGTGCAGGAGGCAGCTGATCGATGTTTCTCTCTCATCGATGTTTCTAACTCTCTCTCTCTCTCTCTCCCTTCCTCTCTGTAAAAAATCAATAAAATATATTTTTTTAAAAAAGAACAAGTGGGGAGACAGACAAATCACACAAGTCAACAACCAGGCAGGCAGGACGTGGGTCTGCAGAGTAGTCAGGGGCGGCCTCTAGGGAGAGGTGACCTGTGAGCTGAAAAAGTCAAGCCAGGGGAGCTCTGGGGGGAAACTTTCCAGGCAGAGGGAACAGCAAGTGCAAAGACCGTGGCACAGAAGTCAGCCTGGTGCCTCCAAGGAACCACCAGGAGAACCATGTGACTGGTGCACAGAGAGGGAGGAGGGTGAGGTGAAGCAAGAGAGGTTGGCAGGATAGGTTCTGGAGGCCAGATCCTGACATGGATATATATATATATACCAGAGGCCCGGTGCACGGGGAGTGGGCCTAGGCCAGCAGTTGGACATCCCAAAGTAGGAACATCAATGATGAGAGAGAATCATAGATTGGCTGCCTCCTGCACACCCCATACTGGAAATGGAGCCCTCCACCCGGGCATGTGCCCTGACTGGGAATCGAACTGTGACCTCCTGGTTCATAGGTCGATGCTCAGCCACTGAGCCATGCCAGCCAGGCTGGGTCTCCTCTTTACCTGGATAGCAACAGGGAGCCACTGAAGGGTTTGAAGCAAGGAAGTGTCGTGATCATTCTTTTTCTCTGTTACTCTGACTCCTGTGCGGAAAATGGAGGGGAGTAGGTCTGGAGGAAGCAGGGGGCCAGTGGGAGACTCTCGGAGGCTCCAGGTAAGACACAGTGATGGCTTGGATTAGGACGGTGGCATGGAGATGGCACGCGTTTAAAAGACAGCACCAGTAGCTCTCGCTAATGAATCCCACGTTCAAAGGGAGAAAAATCATCCCTGTTTCTGGCCTGTGACGTCATGATGGTGCCACGTGCCATGAAGGGGAAGACCCCGGAGGAGCCGGTGGGAGCCTTGGGACGCCCTGAATTCCCTGTCGCACATGCCACCTTCCAGAAGCCTGCTGCACCGCCCCATGACGCTGTCCTGTGGACAGTCCGGGGCTGAGTCTGGAGTTCAGACGGAAGGTGGGCATGGCCACTCGGGCGTTGCCAGCAAGTGTATACTAAGTGGCAGCTGCCGCAGTAGGTACCAGTGGCTGCTCATTTCTCTCCAACCCGCAAGCCCCATCTCCCTGCGCACCCGGTACCTGCGATGTCTCCAAGGCCTGGCCCGCCACGCCGGTGGGGAGGGAGGCCACCTGCAGGGCCTGCTTGCGCGCGGCCAGCAGGATCCTGCAGTAGGTGAAGCAGATGGCGCCCGAGGGCAGGAAGAAGGTGAGGCCCGACGCCACGAGGACGAACGGCAGGCTGGCCAGCAGGCGGCACTGGCCCGGAGCGGGTGCCCGCGCACGGCCCAGCTCGTGCCAGCCCAGCAGCAGGGGCAGGAAGGAGGCGAGCGCGGCGAGGGTCCAGGCGCCCAGAACCAGCGCCAAGGCGCGCGCGGGCGTCATGCGCAGCTTGTAGCGCAGCGGCGACAGGATGAGCAGGTAGCGGTCCAGGCTGATGAGGCAGAGGTTGAGGATGGAGGCGCTGCAGCACATCACGTCGAAGGCGGCCCAGAGCAGGCAGAGGCCTCGCGCCAGCACCCAGCGCCCGTACAGCGCGTTCAGCATGGCGGGCGGCATCACCACCAGCCCCACCATCAGGTCGGACGTGAAGAGCGACACCAGGAAGAAGTGGGACGTGTTGCGCAGCGCGGGCTGCGTGCAGATGAGCGCGATGAGCAGCGAGTTGGCCGCGGCGGTCAATGCGATGACCACACACATCGCGGCCGCCACCCAGCCACTGCCACCCGGGCCCGGCACCAGCCCCGACCCCCAGGAGGGGGTGCTGTTGTATGCGGGGCCCGGTTCTGGGATCATCGGGGCGGGGGACGGACGGCGAGGCCGTGAGACCCGAGGGGAATCCTGAGGATGGAGAGGGACCCGAAGGAGTGGAGACTGCAGGGGGTCGTCAGCGAGAACAGACGCCCCCGGGGGAGGCGGGGGGGAAGGGGGACAGGTGGGAAGAGAGGGAGGGGGCGACAGGTCAAGGGGCAGAGGATGGAGAGGGGCCCTCGGTGTGGGTCAGGGGTAGGAAGTTTGGGGGAGCCCTGATGAGGAGCAGAGTGCCTTAAGGGGGCAGGAGGACTCTCGGAGGTTAAGTGGGTGGGAGTAGAGGCCCCTGGAAAGGGCGGTCAGATGGGGGAAGGGCAAGGACCGGGGAGGTGGGAGCAGAGGGCAGTGGGCGCTCCAAGGCGGAAGGCAAGCCCCCCGCGGCAGGTGGGCGTTAGGTCCGGGGCCGTGGCTCCCTAACCCTCCATTCCCTCTCACAGCATCCTCCCCACACGGCGGGAATACCGTGCACACATGTCAAATCATAACTGTGCCCTACAGAACCTCCAGTGCACTGAAAACATCCCAACCGCTCATCCCACCAAGCTCTCTGGTGAGGAGCGAGTCACTGTGCCTCCTCCGCTCTGTGGGACTCTGAGGCGCTCCCCACTGCCTGGGCCTGGCCACCCTGATGCCAGGAACGCCCTTGGCCTGACCTTCATGGCTGGTCCCTGCAGACCTCCAATCACTTGACACCCGTAGGTGCACACACACATGCACACATATGTACACATGTAACATCGTACACAATATACATGATACATACGAATACTTCCTTCGGACCCTTAGTTAAACAGCAGGTTGCCTCCTCCTGGGGGTTTTCCCAGCAGAAACCATCCCTTTCCCCAACAGCGTCAGGCTAAGGAAGAAGTCCCTGGCCTGTCGGCACCCACCGTGTAGCAGAGAGTGAACAGATTTGGGGAACTCCAGGCCAGGCCAGGTGTGGGGGGTAGAGTCACTGCAGGTGGAGGGGTTGGGTGTGGCCCCACTGTGTGTCTCTTCCCCTGGCTAAGAGTCTCTATCAGACTTCACAGATCAATATTGTGAACCATTTATTGAGCACCTGGTCGGTGTCAGATACTGTTCTGACCACTT